CTGCACACTCATCTCCCTCAATTCCCATACTTCATACTCATCCCCCCACACCCCACGATGCACACTCATCCTCCTCACACTCCACACTGCGCACGCATCTTCTTCACATCCCACACCACACACTTGCTTTCCTCACACCCCGCACCGCACACTCCTTCCTCTGACACCCGACGCTGCTCGCTCATTTCTCCCACACCCCGCACTGCACATGAATCGCCCTTACGTTCCACACTGCGTGGCCATCCCCCTCATGTCTCACACTGCACGCGCAGCCACCTCCCTCCTCCACCGCACACTCATCCCCCTCACGCCCCACACTCATCCTTCTCACGTCTCACTGCAGGCCTGTTCCCCTCGCGTCTCACACTGCCCATTCATCCCCCTCACACCCCACGTGGCTCATGCATCCTTCTCATTTTAGGACTGCACTCTCACCCCCTCACACCCCACACCGCCCGCTCACCTCCGTGACATCTCCCAGGGCACTCTCATCTCCCTCACCTCCCTCCCGCACTGCACATCCATGCCCCTCACGCCCCGCGTGGCTCACGCGTCCCTCTCACGTCCCACACTGCATGCCTTTCTGTGACCTCCCCCGCATTTCTCACACTGCACGCTTGTCCCTCTCACATTTCAGACTGCATTCTCATCTCTCTCGCATCCTGTGCTCGTTTCCTCAGCTCCCACACTGCTCACGCCTCCCTCTCATATGGCAAACTGCACACGAATCCCCCTCGTATCCCACACGGCATGCTCACGGCCCGTACTGCACCATCCTTCTCGCTTCCCACACGGCACATTCATTTCCCTTGCCACCCACCCTGCCTGCTCCTCCCCCATTGCTCACCCTGCGTCGTCCTCCCCCTCACATCCCACCCGCCTGCTCATTCTCTGATGACACCGTGAAGTGGCACCTCTCATTTTTCTTCTCCTGGACCGGCCACCTTCAGGCAGTCTATTCTGCCCCCAGACTTTTTCTTTTCTGGCCCTGCCACCACTGCCTCACTGAAGTCTTGTCACTGCTCAGCTGGATGACTGAGATAAGATCCTCATGCTGTGTGTTCTCTCCTTTTCCCCAGTAAACGTTGACCCCAACAGATACTGAAGAGATATTAGATTTAGGTGGAAGATAGTGTTTGAGTTTCTGGGATGTTCTTTCTTCCTTTCTTTTTTGAGTTGGAGTCTCACTTTGTCGCCCAGGCTGGAGTGCAGTGGCACGCTCACGGCCACCGCAGCCTCGACCTGCTGGGCTCAGGCCATCTTTCCGCCTTAGCCTTCTGAGGAGCTGGAACTACAGGCATGCGCTACCATGCCTGTCTAATTTTTTGATTTATTGTAGAGATGAAGTCTCGCCAAATTGCCCAGGCTGGTCTTGAACCCATGGGCTCACAGGCAATCCTCTCACCTTGGCCTCCCGAAGTGCTGGGATTATGGGTGTGTGTCACCGTGTTCTGCCTGTAATATTCTTCCAGTCAGGCTCCAACCTCCTCCTCCACCTTCAACCCATCAGCTCACCAGGCAGGACCCAGGAAGAGCACAAGTGCTTCCAGTGCATTCCCGGGGTATGGCTGGTGACCCTCTCTTCCACTAGCTGATGTGTCTGTGTGGGATACCTGGCATCTACTTGCTGAAGTAGTGTTGCTTCTTCCTCAGACATATTCTGTCTCCATTTGATTTCACTCATCTTTACGGTACCATCAAAGATCTTTTTCCCTGAGAACTATCTGATCCTTGGAAACCAGGGAGAAAAGAGAGGTGGTCAATTTCTGAATAAAAACCCGTGTTTCGGCAACCCCCTCGATTCCCCTCCCACTGTGGGAGCTTTTCTGTCCTCTCAATAAATCTTGCTTAAAAAAAAAATTCCGTGTTTAAAAAGCTTCTCAGACCAGCCTGTGCAACATAGCAAGACTCTATCTCTACAAAAAAAGAACACGCATATAAAATTAGCAGGGTGTGGTGGCATGTGCCTATAATTTAACTATTCAGGAGGCTGAGGCAGTAGGATTCCTTGATCCCAGGAGTTTGAAGCTGCAGTGAGCTATAATCATATCACTGCACTCCAACCAGCCTGGGTGACAGTAGGACCCCGCATCTAAAAAAAAAAAAAGCTCTCCAAATATCACAGAGACAAGGAAGAGGAATGACTGCTGGAGAAATGCCCTTGCCTCTGTGACTTTGTTCAGTCCAAGTGTGTCTGAAATCTAAATCTGCTGGTCATTGGAGGTTACTGAATACCATCTCTTGGGGCCACGCAAGGCCCTCAGCAAACCTGAGTGACTTGGACAGTCTCAGGGGAACCGGAAGGATGCAGTGGCAGGGGAGGGAGAGAGAATGTCCCATGGCAAGCCCTTCCCACTGAGTGAGAGACCTTGCCAGGCCTATGTGGTCAGAAAGTTTGGAAGGAAAATGAGAAAATGAATTCGCTCACTTTTCCTTGGAGAGAGGTCTTCCGAAAGCCCCTATACTTCAAGCCACAGTGAGCTTGAAGATAAGTTTTATCTTAGAAAATTTATCTTAAACCTTCAATGAAAAAACAAAAAACAACAGGCCAGGTACAGTGGCTCATCCCAGCACTTTGGGAGGCCAAGACAGGAGGATTGCTTGAGTCTAGGAGTTCAAGATCAGGCTAGGCAATACAGTGAGACTTTGTCTCTGCAACTGGGCATAGTGATGTGCACCTATAGTTCCAGGTACTCAGGAAGCTGAGGCAGAAGGATTGCTTGAGCTCAGGAGGTCAAGGCTGTGGTGAGCTGTGATTGTGCCACTGGTCTCCAGCCTGGGTGACAGAGCGAGGCATTGACTAACAAACAAAAACAAAACCAGAACTCCCATAGCACTTAAATAAATAAATAAAAACAATAGAGAAAATAAATCAAAACTCAACAAACATCAAGTTTCAAATGTCCAGGTATAAACAAGGAGTCTTGTGTGTGGGAAGCAAAGAAGATGTTTTGGGTTCTGAGTGATTGCTGAAGTTTTAGAAGATAGAGTCAAACTTCTCCAGGATATATCAGACTGAGAGAGTGGACTGAAGGTTTAGCACAATGGAATGTAGCAGAAAAAGATGGAAGTCTTGTCCTTATACCACAGCAATGGGGGTGGCAGTGGGGGAAGCTAGGCAGGCCCTGGCTCCAGATCTGTAGAAAGGTCGTGGTCCTCAGGGCTGTGGTGGAACCCCAGTGCCCCAAAAGTCCAGTCTAGGAAAGTCAGGGTCCTTCCCAAAAGGGGCCAGGAAAAAAAAAAAAAACACAAAAAAACATGCAATCTGAGGAATGACTGGCAAAACTGGGATGCTTGGATTTAGTTCATTTTCTCCGTCAGCCAAGGACTTAGGAAAGCCTACCTGTTCTGGTGCAATGCCAGCACCGACACATTAAAGAACTCCCTGCCGAGCCTGGGAGGCACAAACTGGATTTTGGAGTTAGAATCAGTCAGCCTGCCTGCGTAGGCCCAGATCGGCTTCTGCAGACCCTGGGGTGCTGTCCACAGTGCTGAGAGCTGTGGGTCTCAACGTCCTCATAAGAAAAGCAGGAAAAGCAGCAGCACGTGGTCATAGGTGTGTGCGAATTCAAAGAACACGTGTATGCAAAGTATTTAGAGCAATGTCGGCTACCTAGAAAGGCACACAACATGTTATTATTTCAGTGGAGGAGATGGTGTCTCATCTGTGCTTGGCATCTTGCCCACTCCGGCCACATCAGGACATTGTATTGTTCCCTCTTGGGTATAAGGATAGAGGCTGTCTTGTGTGTGTGTGTGTGTGTGTGTGTGTGTGTGTGTGTGTGTGTGTGTGTGTGTGTGTGTTGGAGTCTCACTCTGTCACCCAAACTGGAGTGCGGTGGCATGCTCCCGGCCACCGCAGCCTTGACCTGCTGGGCTCCCGCAATCCTTCCGTCTCAGCCTTCCAAGTAACCAGAACTACAGGCGCATGCTACCATGCCCGGCTAATTTTCTATTTATTTATTGTAGAGACGAGGTCTCGCCAAGTTGCCTGGATGGGTCTCAAACCCGTGGGCTCAGGCAATCCACTTGCCTCGGCCTCCCAAAGTGCAGGGATTACAGGCTGAGCCATCGAGCCCGGCCAAGGCCGTCTTAAGTGTTAATTCCTCCCTCCCTATTAGCTCTCATCTATGTGATTACTTATCTAAAACAAAGCAACCCTGTGGTAAAGTCCCCAGAGCCCTCCCCAACTATGGACCCTGCCAGCAGCTCCACATCTGCTTCTCAAGAGTGTTCTTTGCTCAGGGCCCTACGTCCCCCTTCTGTTCCTACTCCACCGTCTGGCTGAGATATCTCTGGCCTCGGAATGGTGGTCCGAGGGATACTCTCCCCATGCCTCCACTTGACCTTGACACACTTCCTTTGTGGGCAGAAAAAGATGAAAGTCTTGCCCTAATACCACAGCAGTGGAGGTGGCCATGGAGTGAGCTACGCAGGCCCTGGCTCCTCCCCCTCCTCACTCCTCCCAGGTCACCTCCTGCATCCTGCTGGTGCTTCCTCTGAGCCGATCCCTCATGCTATGTCCGTGCTCTGGCCCAGACAGCTCCGACTCTCCACCTGATGTTTCACAGGCACTTGCAGCCGGCAAGTTCCTTCTCCCAAGCCCAGCCAGCCAAGGCCCCGCCACCCACAGAGCTCCACACACCAGACGCTGGGTGTCTCCTTCAGCTCCTTCCAGCCCCTTGTTTCCAGTGACCACTGAGTCCTGTGAGCTCTCCCTGCCACTTTCTCAGATATTCACTCCATGCTGCTGGCCGGCCTGCCTTCCCTTCTCCAGGCACTGGCATGGCCCTGACCTCCATTGCATCCCTTGCCTTTGGTGGGCTGGGTTTTATAAAAACATGCATCAGATATCCCGCTCTCCTGTTAATGTCCTTCCACAGCTTCTCCTTGCTATTAGGGGAAGTGCAAAATCTTTACGTTGGTCCTTGTGGCATGTTTTTTGGGCAAAATGTGCAGTGTTGGGAGGGGGTCCTTGTCTCATTTATGAACTTGATCCCTCGTGTGACTTTGATCATCGAGTGGTCCTGATCTCTGCAGGCCTCCCATGCGAGTGCAGCCAGCTGCGCAAGGCCATTGGGGAGATGGACAACCAGGTCTCCCAGCTGACGACTGAGCTGAAGTTCATAAAAAATGGTATGTTGCCCCGGGCACTCCCCTCCCTCCCGTCCTGTCCTGCCCCCCCCACCC